TTTAGGGTTTAGGGTTTAGATGGGAGTTTCCGAAAATCAGGGGTACCTTATTTTGGGGACCTTGTATTGAGCATTGAGGATCCTATATTATTTAGGGTGCTATATTAAGGTCCCCTATTTTCAGAAACCCCCATATACTCTATACTTTGGTCTTGGAAGGTTCCTATGTAGGTACTTTGAGGCCTAAGTTTGTACTATAGGGGCACATGAAGCCCCAAGAATATTTAGGATCTGCTTTAATCCCAATGAAAGAAAAGGGGGGGGTATTAACCAGCGGGTCTACAGCTCCAACGGATCTTTTTGTCTATCCGTGTGCCAACTGCCTTTTCTAGTCTTTGCTGCGTCCCTAAACCGAGCAGCAACTTCATGCCGACCTTCGGGTCTGACACACTTGCTGATTGCGTCCAGCCCGGGGCTTCACGGCCATGAGTCTTACCTTTAACTATCGCATATAGGATGGTCTTGAAGGGGCTCCTTTCTAGGAACTTTCAGGCCAAGGTAACTATATACTATAATGAGGTACATGGGCCCTCAGGGTTGCGCTGGATGCGGTATTTGCTTGAGGTTCTGCGAGAACAAGAACCCAAAACCAAAACCACCGAGACCTACATCAAAACAAACAACATCACAGAGCCCGAAAGCCCCTCGAACCTAAAACCCCGACAAACTCCTATAGAGAACCTGATCACTTATCCCCATTCCTTGATTCCCCAATCCCTAACCCTAAACCCTCAACCCTAAACCCTAAACCACTCGTACAGCCTGGCCTCAGCGCTGGGCGTGTCAGCCTGGCCCACAAAAGCGAGCGCAGCCAGGCCGGCAAACAAACCTTGAGCGCGGCTCGGGAGTTTAGGGTTTAGGGGTTTCGGGTTTAGGGTGGCTCGGGAGTTTGAAGCGTAATAGACGAAGATATGGGCCTTCATAATTACCTATACTATACTATTTGGCGCTCTGTACTGTGAAAATATTACAATAAGAAACACAGAAACCCTATTCCGATCATAAAAGCCCCTACAGTATGCACGAACTATTAACTGGTATAATACTACATGATTACGTTTTAAGCTTCATGCACTATCGTTTGTGCTACATCCGACACGTCATACGATACACTATGTCAGAATCGAAGCATCTTCACACGTTGTTGGGTACAATACCCCTAAACTCCAAACCTTGAACCCTGAACCCTGAACCCTAAACCCTAAACCCTAAACCCTAAACCCTAAACCCTAAGCCCTAAACCCTGCGCTGTCAAAAGCCTATTCAAGCCCCCATACCAGGGCCCAGGCCTCCGGCTTAGTTCTTAGTGAATATCGGGCCCTTGATTATTAGAATGAGGGTTCCTTAAAAGGGTCGCTTTAAAGGGATCTGTAAGGGTTCTATTTGGGATGTATTGTGTGTGGGCCTTATTAATTAGAATAACGTTTTGGGGTATAGTACATTTAACCCCTATACTACATTATCGAAACGTTCAAACAAGTGCAATGGTGAATCCCTAGGACACAAATCCACAACCAAAGTTCCTGACCTTAGGGTTTGGAGTTTAGGGGTTAGGGTTTTAGGGTTTCGGGTTTAGGGGGGGAGGATGAGGGTTTAAGACCCTAAACCCGAAGCCCTAAACCCAGCCTCATGCGCCAAACCCCAACCTCCACACACCAAAATCGCAACTGTTGCTGGAGGCTTTGGACTGCTGTAACCTTACAGCGCTGATCCCCATGCCCTACCTTATACTACAGTAACCTGCTTGTTGGCAGGCTCCGAATATAAGCCCTAAAAGAACTTACAAACCAAACTGCGAAAACAGGCTTCGAATCCCTAGACCATAAACTATATGGGCCCTGCGAGCAGTAGGTTTTGGTGGTTCAGGGTACAGACTAGAATCCCGGACCCTGAGCCCAAATCCCCCAGCCCTTCTTCCACCGGCGGCTAATGGCGGCTAGATTTGGGGAGCAGCTTCGCCCTAAGAGTCCATGTGCCCAACAAGTGGATATATATATATATACATACATACATACATACATACATACATACATACATACATACATACATACATACACTTTGGCCTTAAAGCATGAGTCTTATGGTGCCAGAGTATATATATATATATATACTATTTGGGTACATGGACCCTCAGGGTGGGGATTAGGAACATGGAAGTCTGCCAGCCTCTAGCCCTGCCTACTAAAATCTCCCTAACCGTTCTAACCCTGAACCCCCCCTAGACCCTAAACCATGCAAGTTGAAACCCTGTGCCCGAGAACCACTCCAATCGCCTGAGCCTCAAACCCCTGAACCCTTCAACCCAGAAAGTCCCCACATCTCCACCCTAAACCCTAAACCCTAAACCCAGAAAGTCCCCCCACATCCCTTTACGAACCCTGTATAGAACCCTAAAAGAACCCCTGAGGCGGCCTTAGGAGCCCCTGAAACGGTATAGGGTTTAGGGTTTAGGGTTTAGGTATCCACAGCTTTGGACGCGAAGCATTTCAGGCTCCGAAGTGCCATCTGTCAGCAAGACGTCAACTCACGACTGGACGTCGGCGATGAACGACAACAAAACAAGAACCGAATCGCAACCACTGAAACCCAAACTACCCCTCGCTCATAGAATCTGAAGTTGGAACCATCCGTACATAAGAACTTAAAATCCTGATGTTAGGAGGCATCGTTGATACCATGGCTTCTACCTCCAAGACCGCTTTGGGCAAGGCTTGATTCAAAAGTCTGTGGCACGTCACTTCATGCAGCAAATGCGTCTGTCGGGTTAGGCATATTTCAGGCATACCATCCCATCCCGAAACCCACGGTCGTGAGCACCTTACAGCAGTCTGTGTGTGTGTGTGTGGAAAACAAACCCTAAACCCTAAACCCTAAACCCTAAACCCCAAGCCCCTAAACCCCAAACCCTAAACCCTAAACCAAACCCAAGACGAACAAATGCGATTGGTGCGTACGAAGATCACGATCCAAGACCGCTCTGGGTCTGAAGCACTGAATGCGACGTCGGAGCTAATCTAAAGACAAATCAAGGAATTAGTTTAGGGCTTATAGGGTTTAGGGTTTAGGGGGAGCTAATCTAAAGACAAATCAAGGAATTAGTTTAGGGCTTATAGGGTTTAGGTAACTCCGACGAGACCAACCTGTTCAAAATCAGTCTCGGGGTTAATTCAGGGTTTAGGGTACCCAGAACAGAGAAACACAAAGATGCCTGAACCCGAAACCCTAAACCGAACCGAACTTGCCTTACCCTAAGGGTCCAAGTACCTCATAATCATATACTCTCCCAAAAAATAACCTACATAACTACTATCCGAAACCTGAATACCTGATTATTGGGTCCTTTGGACCCTTGGGGTTATCTGCTACATGCACTTACAGGCCTAACGCTTGTTCATCAACTCCGAGAAATCAGAGCACTGGTCGGTGGGACTTCGAACCCGTCGATTCGTAGGTATTAGGGAATTTGCGGAAACACACCAAGATAAGGGCCAGAATTAGTACTTAGGCCAGAGCTGAGGCAATGGTACCGTATAAAGATAGTTACTGCAGCGACATGGGCATGTCATTGCTGAGTATTCAGGCCTGTACTGTCTCGACCCGGGAAACTAATGCAACGGTTTCTCATTGCGGTTATTCAAGTTCAAGGCAGTCGAGGTTGTGGTTTATTGTCTGGGTCTTGAAGTTAAGGGTTTATGGCTTATGGCATAGGCTCTGACAGGCTAAAGGCTTTCCTCAACGGTTCATTGACGAGCTGCGTGTTAACTTTAATGTAGACACCCGACTAACACACCCCACCGTGATAGGCATGAAGTACAAACCCAAACCCTAAACGCTAAACGCTAAACCCTAAACCCTAAACCCTATTCATGCTCTCAAAAAATGAGGAGCCATCTTGGTCGGGGGTCTTAACTGAAGCCTTCACAACAAGCACTTCAGAACATCTAGCAGGAGCCCGGGGGATCTGAGCCTTCCGAAGCCGAAATGGACCTAAAGGTCCATGTACCCAAATACTTCGG